CCCCAAAACCCCAAAACCCCAAAACCCCAAAACCCCAAAACCCCTCTTAATAGTCTATAGTTGAATCAATAGTAAACTGAAGGGGCAAATGACATAGCGGAGGACTGTAGTTATAGCTTTCTTATGGTTATGTTCGGAACAAATTGCGATCCCATGCCAAAACCGATATTTTCATTTGAAAGATCCTCTTTGGAGTAGTTGAAGTCTATGTGAGTGACAAAATAAGCAATGACGAGTTTCATCTCTAATAGAGCGAATGATTGGCCAGGACAGTTTCTATTTCCATGTGAGAAGCTTCTTCTAGAATATATGTCAGCCACTTTTCCCATTTTCTTAGATTTTTGGTAAAATTCAGAGTCGAAATCAAATCTTTCTGGGATAAAGCTTTCTGGCTCTAGCCATTTTCTTTCATCAAAGTGAGAGGATACAGCATCAATTCTGATCTTAGTTCCCTTTTTGATAGGTACATCACAGATCTTGATGTCTGAACTACTTACATAATCGAATGTCTCAGACACAGCAGTATCACGTCTCAATGTTTCCTTGACAACGCTATTGAGGTACGTACAACTTTGGAACTTTTCGACAGTACACTGATTGATGAAGTCGTCAGTCTTAGTGAATCCTTCCCTCTTAAGTTCTTCTCTTAACTTTTTCAAGGCTTCTGGGTACTTGTTCAGAAAATACAAGCAAGATACCAAAGAATGAGCTGTAGTCTCAGTTCCAGCGAGCATGATACCAATAAGGTCGTCTAATTTCTCCTCTTCAGTGCAATTTTGGTTAGTCATGAATTTGTATCCAACAGAAGTAGTATCTTTGGACGATTTCGCTATTTTCCGAATGCTTTCTCTGAAAACAGTCAAGTTTTTGTCATTTCTTTTGTAAGGATTTACTAATTTGTTCTCTGCAAGAAATGGGGCAATGAATGTTGTAATATTATAGTATTGCTCGATGTATCACTTCCCAATTCTAATGAGAATATCTCTAAGGGAAAGATCCTCAACTTTACCATCATCATTAATATATGGGTGTAGATCAGAGACAAGTTTTTCAACATCGTTTCCAAACAAAATGTCAATGAAGACATCAAAAGTTAGAGTGTTCATGCAATGCATAATATTGACTTCCTTCTCATTATCCATGGAGTCAAGGATCTTCTTGCAGCAATCAATCATGTGAGGGATATAGCTTGAGGCACCGTTGAGACCAAGCCAGGTAGTCATGTTCTTCCTTCTCTGCATCGTCTTTTGCCCTGATTTTCTACCTACAAGAGAGTGAGGGATCATGGCAGTAATACCATAGTTAATAAACAGTCTATCAATATTGGACGTCTTCTGCAGTTGTATAAACTCCTCAATAGCTTTGCTACTGAGAATAGAGATACAAGGAGTTGGTCCATCAAGAGCTGCATGTATATCATACTTCGCAAATTCTTTAGATTTTTCCTTTCTGAAAGCATAATGCACTTTATTGTTATTCATTCAATCAATTGAATTCTTGAAGTCTCCAATCAAGGGCAAGAAGGTATTCATGGTCATCACATTCGAGTATTTTCTGTACTTCCTCAAATATAGGTATGGTCTTATCAAAATTCTGTGAACCAAATATACCAAAAAGGCTAGTAGGAAAATTCCAATGTACTTGAGTATCTAAACAAAAGTTATTAGCCTGGGAATGGAATCTTATTATTGTCACTAACAAAGAGCCAATAGTACAAAGTAGAGCTAAGCACAGAGCCTTACGCTTGAAATCTCAATAGGGAGATAAGTTTGTAATATCATATTTATTCTCTCAATTCAGATCTCTTTTTAAGGGGTTTTGGGGTTTTGGGGTTTTGGGGTTTTGGGG